TAAGAATGATGAAGTCAACATATGTACTAAAGTGCTGGACACAGATGACGTATGTACAGATTGTGATGAGTTGTATGAGCCCCTAATAAAATGATTATTTAAAAAACAACAAATAAAACCAGGGTAAAATAACTCTATGTTTGTTGATCTCCCACCCTCCGAGTAGTCTGTGTGATCTGACCCTTCATTCAGAGGGCGGAAGGGCCTTTCTTGAGGCGCCCTAAAGCTCCTCAGAGCATTGAGCAGACTGCAGGAGCTGTGAGTGACTGGTGAGGCATGCTCTCAGCGCTTATTTTCTAGATTGGTGTAGGTTTAGTCTAAAAACGCAGAAATCCAAAATAAGCATAGTTTATGTCTTTAATCTTAGAGGGCCCATAGACAGTTGAGAAGATTCCATGGAGCAGCTGAACTCTATGGTTAGTACAGGGGTCACTGTGAGCTGGGATCTACTAGATGATGACGTAACAAGTTTGTTAAAAAAAAAAAGTTTGTGTGTTGCTCATGTAAAAGTCTGGAGGTAACGAGAACTATCAAATTATCAATGGCAAATATTGAACATGTGGTGACCTTCCAGAAGAACAGACGTGTATGCTGAAGGAAATCATGCTCTCCATCATACTCATTGTCCCGGAAAATGGTCTCCACGAGACCTTTTGGGAGTCTCCCTCAGGGGGTTGTGGAGGTGCATCCTTGATGGAGCTCACTGTGTGGGGTGCCGCACAGTCATGACTCATGCTCTGACTGCCTTAGAGAGGCCCCTGAAGCACTCTTGTAAACGCCTCACTCTGCCACATCACCGTCAGGGCCCGGTCCCGTTGCTGTATCCTCTGTAACTATGATGTATGCATGCACTCAAAGCTGCCGTTTCCCTCGTGGGTTATTAGCATTTTCATTTTTATTTTTAATTAGGTGTGTGGGGGTTAGATCTCAACAATTTAAACAACTCATCAAACCTGCCCATAGTTTGCCCTATTCCCCTCATTTTTTTTCTCTCATCTCCCTGTGAAGAATATTATCTTCTCCTTCACCCAAATTAGCACCTATTTACCCTCTAGTCCAGGGGCCAGTGAACTTTTGAGATGGAAGAGCCGGTCATGTCTCTAACAACAATTTAAAAATTGAGAGCACTAAAGATATTTGTACATGGCACGAGACCGATAGCCAACAAGTACCGTAAAGGAAAGTTGAAAAGAACTTTGAAGAGAGAGTTAAAAAAAAAAAGAAAGAAAGATATTTGTACAAACAAACGAAGCCACCATTGCCTGAATGATATCCTTTACATTTTACTTCAGAGCCACATGCTTGATGACCCAGCACCAGCCTATTGCTCCTCCTTCCCTTCCTTTCCTCCCCATCCCTGGTAACTGTCA